GAAGGGTCTATGATCATTGTGAAAGCTAGAGAATGCCTAATGAATCAGGACTTTTAATTCATTCTAGAACTAAAATTTGACAATGAAACTGTTTGGTCCGAGACTTTTGGTGAGGCCCATTGGTTGGGAGCAACAATAATCTCATTCAATGAGAATAGTTTATGAAGGCTGATATGATTAGTAGAGAAAATACTTTGACGTTAGGACAAGTATGTCATTCGAGAGGAGAGACGTGTTAATAGCAGTCCAAAGGTTGGTGTACCAACAAGAAGCAAAAGAAGAGAGAATCAGTGTTTGACTTCATTCCAGTCATGGTTAATAATATGGTGGATAGAATTCCTCTTCTCCTTGAGGATGGAAATTTTATGGTGGATAGAATTCCTCTTCTCCTTGAGGATGGAAATTGTATGAAAAAATTTAGAGTAGAGAAGCAAAGAGAGGCACCCTTGGCTTCAAGACTAGTGATCTCTTGGGAGTTAGATTTTATAAGGTTTTCCACCTTGTTGTAATAATGATGTCAGCTATAGTTGCTCCACGATTATTTTGATACATGACAAAAAATTTTAATCTGACAACACATGTTCTGATCAAAATATTATGGTTTGGCGACTAAAAAATAGTCTTTTTTTATGTCGGCGCTAAATATTTCCATTCTTTGATCATCAAAACTATGTCTTTGATACGTGTAGATATAGTACTGCCAAGTTGGATTGAATAAATGGTGACAACAAACTCCAAATTTTGTCTGTCAGACAAGATAAAAACACAATTATCAGGACAAAGCATACAAATTCAGCTACTTAAGGGAATGAACATGTTCCCAGGGGAGACATAATATCCTTGTTTTCTCAGTAGTCGAAATCGGAGAGCAGTGTCCTAAAGACCATGGTCGTCAATATGGGCATCATGGATATGGTTTAACGCTTCATTTATTTCCTTCTGGAAGTGATAATCCAATCCAAGAAGCTGGATTGAATCGACCAAATTCATAGTTTGCAAGATGTCAGTAGGATCCTTGGACATGCTTCTTATCTGCTCCATCAGTTCCGCAACTCTCTCTTTTATCGTTGTATCACACTTCTCCTGCAATAGACGAGAAAAGGGAGATTTTTCATGGTACTGAAACCGCAGGAAACCCCAACTCTGTCGATGAAGGACCAGTTTAAGCATGAGTGCTATTTAGCTGGAGCTAAATTATCAACACCCCTCTTTCCAGGTGACCTTCTTTCTGAAAGCTGGAAACATCTTTGGCAAATAGGATGGCCGGGTTACATACCGATGTTGGAGTGACGGACCGGCCATGTTGGATAAAGTAGTCCGCCCCAACCCTCGGACGATAGCTCACAGACTTGCGAACCATCAGCTCATCATCTGGAACAAGTGATTGCAGACTCAGACTATCCATTCTTATTTTATGTGAAGACTAATTAAACATGCGAGGTGGCGACGGAGAGCCTGCTGCTTTGTGTTGGAATTTATGAGGACACAACATCTTCGTCTGTTGAGGAGGAAGACAAATGCGAGCCACGACTCTCCTCCACTTTGTGGAGATTACCTATTAAGCCAAGTTTCACACGACGCGAAAGAGAAAAGATATTATCATCATATATCTCTACTCACGGTTCATACTATCAAAATTGAAGTCGGCTGTATCTGTTCTAACAAAAATAAATTGCAACTTCGTGGTGATAGGAAAGCGACGCAAGGATTACTAATGTGTCAATTTGGTTTCCATAGCCACCGACAAAATCTATGAAGAGACGTAAGCGATGCATGGGCGCCATCGACATAAGAAATGAAGAGAC